CCCACACATTCCCCTTTTCTTACAAGCACTCATGTCCCACCCAAGTCTTTGCTATTCTGTAAGTTTGCATGACTCCGTTGTGACATCTTCTTTAATATTTTATCTTCACCCACAGAAATTAACATTTAAGTATGACCATCTTATATTATTCTCTTAAAGTACCTACATTCAATTCAGGAGCAGTTCTATTGTCACCCACACCCCCAAACAATGTCTAGTAAATATTGAGAGTAAGATATGTAAATTATAGTCTACTATTTTTCTTGTGGAAGAATCTCCAAATTCCAGAAATACATGTGTGTGTTTGCATGAGAGAATGCTCAGTGCTTTTTTCATTACTCCTCTCAATCAGGCTCTGATATTTGTTTTGGGGATCTGCTATTGGTGATAGGTAGGAAAAACATTAATACTTAATTGCAATTCTGATATCACCTTTCCTACAGTTTATTTATGATCTGTAGTATATAACTTAAAAGTAGTAGCGTGTTGGCTTTTCATTTCTTTCTCTGAACTAGTTTCAAGCATGATCATCTGTCTCAGAAGAAGTTTATAACAAGCGTATGTAAAACATGAATTCTGGCCTCCGCTCCGAATTTCCTGAATCCCGTTCTCTGGTTCTGGAGCTCCCTGGTCTGTATTTATAACAAGTGGCTTGTTATATTGGAGATTCCAGTGTTCACTCAAGCTTAAGAACCACTGCCCTGGGGTGCTTAGCAGCCAAATCCAGGACTTTCCTGTAATGGGCATGTGTTTTTGGAACTGGTTTACTCCATCAGATCAATAGAGCATGAACATTTCAAATGTTAGGGCATAAGATTCACTTGTGACTCATCAAACACCATGTGTTTGTTGTGGATGCCTTACATAGATAGGTGATTACATTCTTTGGATAAGCACTTAAAAAACTAAGAATGATTTTTTTCCAACTGTTAAGTAAAATCAAACAAAAGGCATATAGGACTAGGGATGTAGCATAGTGGTAGAAAGCTTACCTAGTATGTGTAAGAACTTGAGTTTAACCCCCCAGCACTGCACATTAAAAAAAAAAAAAGATTGTTTTGTTTTAAAAAACTTCTTTTTCTTCTTTAATTGAAAGAAGTAAAATCAGCATACTACAGTGATACATGCATACAAATGTTTACAGCAGTGCAATCCACAGTAGATTATCATGGAACCAGCCTAAGTCGCCCCATTAACAGATGAATGGATAAAAAAAATATCATATGTCTGCACAATGGAGTTGCATTTGGTCATAAAGAAGAATGAAATCATGTCACTTGCTAGTAAATGGAACTGGAGAACATATGCTAAGTGAAATAAAGCAGACTCAGACAGTCAAGAGTCTAATGTTTTCTCTCATATGATGAAGTTAGAGAGAAAAAAGGAATAAGAAAAGGGATCTAGCAAAAATAGAAGGAAGAGCATTAGAGGAGAAGCAGGGGGCTAAGGCAGAGGGAGGAAGGAGGGAAATGGGAAGAACAGGTGAACAAAGTTGACCAAATTATGTTGCATGCTTGTAGGAATGTATCACCATGCGTTTCGGTTTTGTATGTAACTATAATGCACCAATTAAAATATATAAGTGGAAAAACAATAGAGTTCATACAGAAAGGGGATCGGGAAGAGAGAGGAGGAGAGAGAAGGAGAACACCAGGGATGAACACGGAGAAAACTATTTTGCACACTTATTTATATATCAAAATGAACCCCACTTTATGTATAGCTACAATGCACTAAGAGGGCATCTGTAATGAACCTCAAAATTTAGTGATCACTACTGTTAATATTTATTGTCATTTATAACAATTATTAGTCTTCTATTCTAAATATAGCTTCTAACCTAGATTTTACATTTAWTTTTAAATTGTATCATACTTGAATAAAATGAATGAAAGTTGGAAATAACAACATTTAGTCACAAAATTTTATTATTTTAGTATATTCTTGAAGGATTTTTTAAATCATTACTGATTTTAGCTTTTTAGCTTCTAACCTTAAGCACTATGACCAAATCACAATTGAGTGGGGGAAGAAAAGTAATCTCTTTGTGAGCTGTTACTAATAATTATCTCAGCAAYTGATTCTTTTTAGAGTAATGACATCTGTGGAAGCCTTTCCTCTGTCCTTTCTTCTTTTTCTTTCATTGTCTCATATTAAGAACCATATGAAAATATATTTTATTAATATCACTCAAAATGTTATTTTAGTAGATAGWAATCTAAAATGATGATATGTGATCTTTTTCAGTTTTTGTTTTAAATTGATAATGGCTACAGGGATTTTATACCCATTTAAGTCTACCCACTCAAATATAGGTGAAACTCCAGTTACCTCTTCAATTATACAAAACAAATATTTTTCCTAATCAGACAGTTTTTTTCCCTTTTMATTAGACACATTTTTCAAACATCAGTCCATGGAGAAAGAATAATAACATAAGAAATGCTTGGCCATGTTAACATTTACCACTTAGCTATTTTTACTTTTTTTTTTTTTTTAGAAAAATTGCTAGATAATCTTTTAATGAGAATTATAAAATTAAAATCTTTAGTAACAAACTTTTAGAAAACAAATAATTAACTCTTAATTAAAAACCTTTATATGGATGATGCCTTATTTTGCAACATCAATACATGAACAAATTTTAAATATGATTTGTCTAAGATATTTGAAAGAGGGAAAAAAAGAGCCTGATTTTATTTAGTATTTCAAAATCAGAATTTATTCCCTAACCTTTCAAAGGCTAAGTTGAGAGGTCTGACTCAAATGGAGAAGAAACAGTGAATGGGACAAAGCGTGCAAGAGAACAAGAGAGAGACCATCTTCTGCCTGCTTTAAATAGCTTTTGGTAACAATTCCRAGGCCACTTTTCCTTTCTGGGACTCATAGCTTCAAAAAATAGCCGATTTTGAAATGTTTCTAAGGAACAGATTCATGAATAAAAAGAACATATGCAGCCAACATATAAACTTCACCACAATTCTGCATATCAAGCAGATTACTAACTTCAAAAAGATATGAGGAGTGAGGGAAAGCCTGAATTATAGAAAAGTCAAATATCTTTGGTGAAAGAATAGAATTAATAAAACCAACAAAGACTCTCATAGCACAACAGCATTTTATATTAACCCACAAAGAGGAAAAGTAATGGTCATTTTAAAGGCCTATTCATCAGATCAAAAGGATATTCAAAACCCTCTTTGCTAGCTCTTTGGAAATACATACTATATTGTTAACTACAGCGACCCTGTGGTGCAATAGRATACTAGAACTTATTCCTACCATTTGTAACTTGTTCTCATTATCTAAACTCTCCCTAATCCTCCTGTACATTTCCCTGTCCCTGGTAACCAATATTCTACTTTATACTTCTTCAAGGTCAACATCTTTTAGGTTCCATTAAAACATGTGAAGTGAGATCATGGGGTACTTGTCTTTCTGTTCCTGGTTTATTTCACTTAACACAATGGTCTCCAGTTTCATGTGTGTTGCTGCAAATGACAGGATGTTGTGATTCTATTGCAGACTAGTATGTCTTTGTGTACGTTTCACATCTTATCCATTCATCAGCTGACAGACATGTACATTGTTTCCATTTCTTGGCTCTAGTGAGTAGAGACCTAATAGATAAGGGTGTGTGCCTACTGATTTAGTTTCCCTTGGAGATATATATATATATATATATATATATATATATATATATATATATACCCAGTACTGAGCTAACTGGAATATATAGGTCTATTTTTAGTTTTTTGAGGAACCTCATACTGTTTCCTTAATGACTGTAATAATTTATAAATGAACACTTTAATCCAGACAGCTCTGAGAGTATAAACTTGCTCTGAAACTCTGTAGCAGAGAGCTTTGGGGATGCAATTTCTGTAAAATGAAGGGATTAATCTCTCTTCATAAGATGCTTATGAAGATTAAATGATATCATGTTTGTAAATCATTTAGAATAGCTTCACTAACATGTTTAAAAATTAAGGAAACAGTAAACCATTGAAAATACACCCCCCCACACATACACACATGCCTGCATAAGGATGCGGATTTATAATATGCTAGGGGTGGTATGGGAGGATTAAATGAACTCTAGATAGGGCAAAGGGGAAATGGGAAGGGAGTGGAAAGGAGGGGTATAGGGGTAGGAAAAACGGTGGAATGCGATGGTCATCATTACCCTAAGTACATGTATGAAGACACGGAGGATGTGACTCTACTTTGTGTACAACTAGAGATATGAAAAATTGTGCTCTATATGTGTAATATGTATTGTAATGCATTCTGTTGTCATATATAACAAATTAAAAAAATAAAGTTTAAAAAACAAAAAAGAGCATATTTTATATTAAGCAAGCATTGTAAAAAATATTGCATTTTTTACTTGTTGCAAGTTGATTATATTAAAAAAACTAATTTTATGTTTTATTTTACTTTTTGTTTTGTTTCTTCCCCATGTGTGTGGTTTTTCCCCTTTAATTTATAAAACATCTGGAAGTAACTCATATTGCACTCCATAAATTCGCATAAATATTATGTGTCAATTGAAAATTTAAGTATTTTATATGCACATTTTTTTCCCCCAGTTTCTGATGCTAAAAGGTTGGGATCCTTTCTTTGCTTGCTACTCAGGTGCTAGAAATCCTTCCTGGGGCTTTTCTGCCCAACACTTTGGAATGCAAACTCCCTTGAGCAAGCACTTGTTTAGCATAATTTCACCTGGGTCCTGTCTAAGGGAGTTAGCGAATATTAAAATAGTCCTAACAATAAAATAGCACTCGGTCAACTGTGAAGCCTTCTTCTAAGGGGGAGGAGAATAGCTCACTTTCCCTGAAGGTCCTGAGAAAGATCAATTTACAGGCTCCAGTATGGGGTGGGACCTGCCTCCTTTCCTCCATCTTGGTACTGACACATGCCTCTGGTGACCATCCTTTTGCATCAGAGCACAGTCTGGGCAGGAATGTTACCAGGGCTGCCTCTCTCCCCCATCCAAAATGTACACAGTCCTTTTTCTGACCTGGCTTGTGATTGGAGGCTGTTTGCTTCGGATTATAACCTCCAGGACCCCTCTGTCGGTTACAGCCTGTTTCTATTATTCTTAATGAAACTTAAGGCACCTGCAGTGGGGTGTGAAGAAAAAGTAAGAGACCTGCATTTTCTCWTCTACAGGTACCAGAAGCAGAAGGCCAATAGCAATCCAGCCACCTGAGTAGGCCCAAAGCTGGCATCTGCCCATGTGTCCCTTCGGGATAGACTATTCACCACCATGAAGGATCTTCTTCAGTATGTCGCCTGTTTCTTTGCCTTTTTCTCCACTGGATTTTTGATTGTGGCCACCTGGACAGACTGTTGGATGGTGAATGCTGATGACTCTCTGGAGGTAAGAAGTCTGCACCTTCTTTTTTGACCCGCATTGTAAATTTCCTCCCAGCCCCACTGCCATATGTAAACCTCAGTACACTTCCTAGGATTAATGATAGCAAAGATAGCCACCAGAGGCAGAATTATGACATTAAATCTTTACATTATTAGTTCATTTAATCCTCACACGAATTTTCAAGGTAGAAACAGCTGTCATCCCATTTTACAGGTGAAGTAACTTCATAACGCTATTTTTCATAAGGTGAAATTCAATAAAGTCTAATTCCATCATTCCTGGAAGAGTCTTCCAGAAATTCACCTCTTCCATTGCTACACACACCAAACTGAACAATGTTCCAGTAACAGCCTTTTTGTTAGACTCCATGACAGCATTAAGGGAACTTGATAGATTTTCTAAAGTGGTGCTAATAATCTAAGACATCAAGTAGTCCAACTCAAGGCATATAAAACCTCCCCACTTGGTAGRCAGTAGAAAAATGTCATTTTATTGAATTTCCAAGCTGAATAAAACATTCCAAAGGAAAGTTTTCCACAGGGACTTAGAAAATATCCTTTCTTAAATATGAGAACTGCCTGTTATACAAGAGTTGAGGAAGTTCACATTTGAAGATTTTATTTTTCTCACTGAAGAAGCTCAAAAAGAAGTACATTTGAAGTTCAAAAGTTTTTCTGTGGCCATAGGAATCTGTGAATTGTAGAACTGAGCAAAAGCCTAATCTTTGGCATCAGCAGCTATTCATTAGTAAGCTTTAGGAAAGTGTGGGTAAGAGAAATAAACCATGTATCAGGAACTCAAAGAATCTACAGCGACACAATTTGCCTTTTTATGTACATCCTGGAGGGAACAATTTATCCTAACAAACGCTGTACTGTCATTTCTGCAAAGTTTAGGAAAGATACTAAAGAGCATGTTGGTATGTTTTTTTTCTTCTAATATTATTTATTAGACTCTCAAGTTGGAGTCAGAAATGGRAAGTAATTATCTTTCTATTTTGGCGTGCATTATTTTTGCTGTTTATTTGTTCTTGCTTTTAATTTTCTTCTGACATCTACATGACATTTCAAAACCAGTGGAGTAATAAATAACTCCTTAGTGCTACAAAATTATATTTCTAAAATCAGTGATAGAATTGAACTACCATAAAGGATGTCTCCTTTAAAGTGAGTCCAGTGATATATTTTATCTGGCAGTGAATGAAAAATAAAAGCCTTTTAGAGACTGCTGGGGGAAAAGTGCAGATAAAACATCCTGCTGCCATTAGTTTGCCATTATCCAGACTGCCAATAGTAAGTGATCAACAGAGAAATATGCTGGACTTGAGCATACTTACAACTGCGCTCTTACAAAATGATTTTAAAATACACAAAATCACATCCAAAGACATTGTGAAAGTATTTTCTGAAACAATTTGAAAGGCTTTCTGCTTAAGGTGACAGAGTTTCTAACTTTACTTATTAAGAAATAGAGTTTTAGGCAGGGTAAGAGTGAAGACTTGTCAGAGAAAGATTGGGAATCCTGGCTTTTAAAGGCCTTCTTCCTTTTATTTCAGGACATCCAACAGATTTACCATCTTCCTTGTATAAGAACACACCTAATTAAAATTAATAGAATAAGCAGTCCAGGTCATTCACCTCAAGTAAATCCTCACTAACATTGAGCAAGAGTTAGTGAGTATTTCATAGTTCTCTGTTATCATAAATGGAAGATTAAAGTCTTTATATGTAAGGAAGAACCCTATTTCAAGTGAGGCCCCCTTCTCTTTCAATGATCTCTGGTCAATATTTTTGAAGGGATAGGAATCTGTCATACTAACCATTTCTTCATTGGGCCAGGATACAGAATCATCATTTTACCCACAAATTTGGAAGTTCTGATTCTCACTGACTCAATTATACCACTCTTTCTCCTTTATATATCACTGTGGTCCATCCTAATAGCTCACTTTAAGCCACAAAAGTGAACACAATAAAAATGTTAAGGAAGAAAAGAAGAATACCTRTGAAAATGTGAGAAGTATTAGAGTCATAGCTTTCTTAATATTTTAGGATGATATAAGCATGAGAGTTAGAAAATGGGTTTTATGTTTCAATTCAACTTACAAATATAAAAAGCATATGTCATATGAAAGTTACTGGACTAATCCTACTAGGGAAGGCAAAGAAAAGGCAAGAATGGGGTCCTGCCTTCYTGCGGTGTACATTGAAGGTGGAAGAAAGGGACATGCAACTATAATAAAACACATTGGTTAATTCATATTTTGAGAAAAAAAATGAACAAAGCACTACTGGAATCGATATGATAGTGCGATTATTTCCTATTAGGGACACTGAAGCATGTCTCATCAAAGAAGAGGTTTTGAGCAAGGTCTCCCAAAGACGCAAAGGATTTCAAAAGGTAGCAATGGCAGCAGGGGCCTTCTAGATGAGAGGACAATGTGGCAAAAATACAGAGTGAGGAAAAGCTCAAGGCTCGTTAGAGGATTAAGATGAGTAACRTGAAGCAAGGGGCTGAAAGAGCTCAAATATTCTTTGGTCTTACTACAGTGTACCTGCCTTGAAGAGTGAAGTTCTTTGTATTAAATGTTAGAACAATTAAAAAAGCACCCAGGATTGTGCTGTGCAYAGCCCTAAATCAGGGATTCAAGGCCCTAAGCTAAAATCCTGCTCTTACATCAAGGTTCAGTTGTGTTTCTGGAAAGGCCATTGTGGTGAAGAGAACTTGGGCCTGAGATTTTTTCCAAGGCTGTGTTCATGTCCCATATTAACTGCCTTCTATTGTGATGAGCTCTTGTCYGCTGCTCCTGTCTGCCGTTCACTGCTGCTCCTATTCTTTAATTGTAAAATTAAACTCACATGTTCCTAGGGTTCTTTTTGGTCTTTGCTGTCTTTAACATCAGACTTCCTGACTCTGTCTGCATCCCCAGAAAGATGGCCGGTCACTGGACAAGTGGTTCCTGAAGTTCCCTAGACACTTCCATTAGGAACCTAATGGAAATATTCTCTGTTTCACTCTTGCTCCACATACCCTTCCTCCAATCGTTTTTTTCTCCCTTTCTCCTATTTTTAATTTTTTTTTCCTTCCTTCCTTTTTTCTTTCCTTTCTTCTTCTTTCTTTAAACTCTTCCTCTTCTTTCCTTTACCCTTTCTCCTTCCCTCCACTTTCTGTTCCTCCTTCTCTTCCTTTTATTTCTCGGTTATCTTTTAATCCCTTTCTCCTTCACCTCTTAATCTCCCCTTTCTCCACCACCCTCTACAGTCTATCTTCTTTCATTCCACAAATGCTCCTGAACTTTTGCCATTTACTGCAACAGGGACAAAATTATGGGGCTTTGAACATCCTTAGGTTACACCCAGTGTAGCAAAGGACAAAGACAGGTGAAATGATAGTTACAGTATGGTGTGGCAAGTCCTGATATAATGAATAACCCTGAGTAGGCAGCTCACTCAGTCTTGATATATCAGTAAATTCTGCTCAAAAGAAAAAAAACATCTAAAATGGACTTGAAAACTAGGCAAAAGTGCCAGGAGAAGTAGAGGGTGTTCCAGTCCAAACAAATGGTATGCACAGAGATCCAAATACAAAAGCTCTGTATGTTTGTGACTGTACGTATTTCAGCATGATAAGAGTGGAAAATACAGGGTCTGGGTCATCAAGGGCTGTATGTGTCGTGTAAACTATAGATCTTATTCTACAGACAAGGGTGTTTCACTGTAAGCAAACGTGTAGGTGCCCTTTATAGAGATAAATCATGCTTTTATTTGTGAGTAATGATTGGAACCAATAAAGTGAAATATGAGGAGACTAGGAAAATTTTGCTGCAGATCAGTAGAAAAAACAGTGATGGTCTGAACTATAATAGTGACAGGCACAAAAAGATATGTAAAGATATGAGAAACTTAAGAAAGCTCATATTGGTGGGATTGAAAATTGACTGCATGTGGAAAAGGGGTGATAAAGAGAGAAGCTTCAATRTTGGATCCACCTTACCACTTTGGGACAATTGGAGGGGAGGTTGAGTCACTCACTGAGTATAAGTGGGGGAAAATTTGTTGCAATACCAAAAGCATCATGAGAAATATTCCTGGATCATGCCGGCTTTTTTCTGGTATAGTTTATCATATAACATCTGGAGGCAGGAACACATTTTTTTGTGTGTGTATGTGTGTGCAATTATTTTCCACACTTTTTATTGGTGTATTATAGTTGTACGTATTCATGGGATTTGTTACATATTTGTACAAAAACAAAATATGACAATGTCATTTGCCCAATATCACTCTCTAGCATTCCCCTGCTCTCTCCCTACCTTCCATCCCTTGGTCCTATTTATGTACTGATCTCCCCGTTTTAAGGAGATCTACCTCCACCTTTGTTTTCCTTTTTCCACTCTAGCTTCTGAATACAAGAGAAAACATACAACCCTTAACCTTCTGAACTTGACTTATTTCCATTAACATAATGATCTCTAGTTCCATCCATTTTCCTACAAAAGCCATAATTTCATTATTCTTTATAGCTGAATAAAACTTCATTGTTATATATACTACATTTTCTTTATCTATACATCTGTTGATGGACACCTGGGCTGGAGGAAGACAGTTCTCTACAGTGGGTAAGAATGCAGTGTTAGGCTTGACACTAGAGGGGACTGGGGTTAAATCCCACTTCAGTGGGATTTTTACTGTGTGATTTTTAAATTGCAGCAAACCAGATTTCCTCTTCTGCAAAGGGAAAATGATAATACACATCATAAATTGCTCATGAAGATTAAGTAAGCTTGTGTATCTAAAGCATTTATCACATCACCAGGAAACTATAATCAGCCAATACATGTTGGCTGTATTATGATTGATTTGTGGTTCATTGTTTTGTTTTTGTTCTGGAGGAGGAGATGACATTTTGTATAATATTCACTGAACAGAGAGAGATGAGATTTAAGTACTAGTCCTATTTCCCTATTGATCTTGTGAAGAAATCTTGTGTATTTCTCTGGGCTG